GACTGGGACCTCCCCAGTCAGCCAGGACTGGGTTAGACCATTTTCTCCCAGTGAATTACACTTACTTATGGCCATTTTTACCAGATTATCAGAAAAGCAAGACCACTAGAGACCTAAGAAGGCCCAGCAGAGTTTAAACTCTTTATGATGATGATACTGGATATAGGCACAATTTAAAAAACCAGGGATTTTTCAGCCAGCCACAAGTGTAAACTGAAGTCTATTACAAATTTATGCTTGATTAGCTAAAAAGCACAACAGATCTATATTCTTTCATGATCAAAATGCAGCAGGGAATAGCAATGCAGGGGCAGCTGCCAGCTTGACATGCACCAGCTACAACAATCATTTGTTCCTGTGGAAATACACCAACTGCAATAGACGTGTCACTACAGGGGTCTCATTCTTCTCTCCGACTGATTTAGTGTAATTTCACCGATCTCTGTGCAGTTAAATTCCCGATTTACACTGCCAAGGAAGAGGGGAAATAGCAGTGACCCCTTCATCGCCACAGCTCAGCCCTCTTTTCTCACACATACATCTTCTAGGAAGGTTTCAGTATTTGCTTACTAGGAAGGAGACATCTCTTACAGTCCACAAAACTATGACCAAAGCAGCCATTTATTCACTCTGTTTGTTTTGCAAACAAATTAAAGTAGGCTTCCAAGAGCGAAAGAATGAAAAGGCAGGTCTAGCTATTGCAACACCGACATATTAACAAAAGACCCTTGACATAGGAAACCCTGTGTTTGCTTGGACTGTGAATGGCTACATTCCCATATCCGTAACTCGAGGCTGCATTTGTAAATACAAATTACTGTACGCGTGCTAAGGAAGCACGCAATGAAAAGATATTATCTTCTTCTGCAGGATACTGCACCTGTGTCTTCAGTTAGAGATCTATTAGTGACATTAAGACACACATTTACGAAGAAAAATTAAAGACTACTCGGGATATGTATTTTTAAATACTAGATAAGGACTGTAGAGAAGCCTCTTACCAAGGTGAGGGGAGCAAGACGCTGCCAATTTATGACTTCTTGCAAGCCAAAGGTAATCTTTCTCTTTATCACAAAGCAAGCAATTTAGCAATAAAATTCTTATGGTCTGCTTGTACTTGTAGTATCTGCTTAGCTACTGTTAGCTCAGGCAACAGAAATAAAACCAACAACGCTGGGATAGGAGTATGACTACTAAGCCCTTCAGCTGAAGTGATGATTTGTTGACTATGTATAATTTTTCAGATCTCACCGTGGAAACAGCACAACTGGAAAAAAATATACCAAAAAACAAAACCACACCAACCCCCCATCCAAAACCTCCAAACCACACACAGGCATCTGTAGGCCAGAAGGAAACAAAGCTCTAAACAGAGAGTCCAGTTTTCCGAAATGCTAGAGCTTGAACTGACAATTAACCAGGCACTTCTGAAAAAGCAGATCCATCAAGAGTTAGTAGAAACCTTTCCTTTAACACATCTCCACCCATTCTGTGTTTTACTTCTGGAATGTACTTGCTTTTAAAATTTCTCTACACTCACTGTTTAAAACTTGGCCCAATCCAATTAGCTATAGGAAAAAGCTGTTAATGTCTGAAGGACACATGCGGGCCCTGAAAAACTTTGGGAAACCTTGGTCCAATTGCTAATGAATTCCTAGTTCTCATCCAAGATATAACATCACAGCCCTACACATGACAAAGGCTTCACAGAGGGCTCAAGGTATGAACAGGAAAAGGAGAGCAAGATCTTTCACCTTCTTTAGACAGAAATTGTTTCAAGGAAGAGTTGAAACCCACTGCTGGGAGAACTCATAATACTGCCTCCCTTGCTATGCCCATCTAATGGATAAATCAGGGACTCTGTTCAGCAGTGCTAGCAACTCAGCATGTTTAAACACTGAATCTACTTAAATGCTTATTTTTTCTTCCTTCTGCCCTGTTCCCACAGCCCTACGTATTTCTTTACCAATAAGTGATTGTTTGTGGGTTAGAGTCATCTAAGGAAGCAATCAGGAAGTTTTATTTGCAGAAGACTGCGCTGTGCATACATGTGAAGTTCATTAATAATGTCTTGCTTGAGATTTCGCCCATTCTGGACCAGATGCTTAGAAATTGAACAGCTGCCTCTGGCACAACCAAGGGTATTTTGTTTGGCAGGCATCACCACGGCTGTCTCAGACCAGACTACATCATACATCAAATGACTTCACAGATTGTCTTTACAGCAGCTGGTAAGTCCCCTCAGACTCCTCTTGCACTCTGAGATACTCATCTGGATCAATCGTACCTATAAGACTGCCCATTGACTTTGTCCTGGGTGAAGACAGTAGATCGTGAAGACAAGACATCATCACCAGCAGGGATGCTTCGGTTCACTCTATGGCCTGACGAGAATACTTTAGATGACTTCATTTCCACTGCAATTTAAAAAAGAAACACAGTTCAGTGAGGAGTTGTCTCTTTACGGTTTTACTGGAAATACAATAAAGTCACGGTTCCCGCTGTATGAAGGATAACAGCAGGCTGCTGGGTTAGTGTGGCTGAGCCAAGCCAACTGCAAGTGTGCAACTTCCAGCCCTTTGCAGTTGGAAAATAAAACATGCTTGGCTCATTTTCAAAGCAGCTATACTCTGCATTTGCAATGGCCTAGGAGTGTGCAGACCATCATTCAACATATATCAGCTACTGACTGCTATCCCATTAAAGCCACAGAAACACAACCCCTTGTACCATCTCTACATATCCACGGTAACAGGCAGCCACTGTGGACAAAACCACGTTTTACACTTCTGTCAGACTTCAAATCTATTACATTTGTTCAATATACCTTATTGTCTGCCTTGCAATAAAGGCATAAGGGAAGGACAGGCAGTTTGCTGAGGCAGAAGGCTACCAAGATGTGCAAGTTCAAGGAGAGTTTAGGGAAAATCCCTAGCTCTGTTCCTCCCATGCTCAGGACAGGCTGCCGTCCTGATTTGCTGAAAGGGATGCAGATCAGGTCGCTTTCAGACAAGGATTTGGCTGCCCAGAGCACGTTCTGCCTGACATTCAGCATAACACATGTAGTAAGATGACCAGGGTTCATCTTTAGTCCACAAGATTTCTGCTCACAGGAGACAAAAAAGAGCCAGAATTATTGATTCTTTACCAGTGTCATAAACAGGGAGAATGGACCCAGACAAAGCCCGACTGACTCAAGAACAGCTGAGTGAATCCAGGCATGGACGACATTAAGAACTGCTTTCATTTTGAGAAAAAAAAAAGAGAGGATCAAGGTTTCTTGAAGCTAAACTTAGCTTCCTTGGTATATGACCTTGATGATGCTGACTGTTCACACGAAGCTTTTATTCTAACCATTTTTTCACTCTTGGTCTCTTACTATTTGTTGCATGACTTAACTGCATGAAACTCTGAATTGCAAAGTATTCCCGTGATGCTAGAAAACACATATTCTGAAGAGAGTTGGTTTCTGGCACATGTGCATAAAGACCATCAGACCAAGATCAGAACCGTATAAACTGTGTATTTATTTCACAGCAAAGATGTTTGGCAGGGCATGATGAGAGTCTCTAGAAACAGTACAATTATTTTTACACCTTTGTGTTGCATGCTGTTCCCTGCCACATCTTAGAATGCACCAGAAGAGAAAGGGCTTATTTTTGCCTTTCCAATTCAAGAATTACTAAAGCAACTGCCTTTTAGAAAACAGGGGATGTCCAAAGACCCAGTGAAATTACCATTATATGGCATGGAAGTCATGTCACTGACATGAACAGCCAAGGGATCCAGCAGTGTAGACTCTCCTTTCTCTTCTCTCAATCCTCATTTCTAAATCCCAAAAGGTAAGAAAGACAAGCATGTATTTCACTGGCTACTTGCAAAAACCTGAAATAAACCTCTGGCAATCTTTCAAGTAGCTCAGTGTTGTTTTATAGCCTGCATTAGTGCTAGGAAGAATTACCTCTGCCACACACAAAAATTATTTGTCTTTTTACATGTAAAATGCATCTAAACTTGCAATATGCTGTGTATGCTGACCTCCAAGATTTTCCTACAAGGAAAGAAAGTATAATCTAGATTTCTTCCTAGTATCCACCTGCATATAATTTTGACTGAAAACAGCTAACAAACTGTTTTAGACAGAGGCTACAAGGAAAGTTCTGACAATGTGAAACATTAACATCGGCAGGAATTCCACCAGCACGAAGGATTTAAATCAATATTCTCCATCAAAAATTAACATTTACATTGCTGACTTACTCAGGTTCCCTGTTTAAACATCCACACAAATCTCTAAAAGCAAACAGTCAGCATCAGCAGCACGGAAAACGTGACAGAGATGAGTGAATGCATTTCAATGGCAAGATACTATCAAAATGTGGTTCAGAAGGCACACGGGGCTCCTGGTGGCTGTGTAATGCCTTAGAAATTGCATCTAATTACAGCAAATAGCAACAACTTTGATACCTGCTTGGCTTAATTTCCTTTATGGAGCATGAATACGTAAAACTCCATTTTTTTTTGCCTTCTACATAGGAAAAATGTCAACAGTCAGTACGCTTTTGGGTAGTTTACAGCCTTTGCTGTTTGCAGTTGCTGGCCCTGGCCTCTCTGTAAAATGGGCTCAGCTGTACTCTAGGTGGTACAGCACAAAAAGAAGCTTGAGGACAGCCCCTTTCGTCCCTGCACAACAGCAAGAACCCAAGTGCCCATCTTGAGGAGCAGCTTCATCTGCTTCTATCGGACGGCTTTCAATCAGCATCTCATATTTACCAGCTCTGGGCATTACGCAAGCAGATTCCTGTCTGCAAGACCTTGGTTACTTTTCTCAGAATCCTTTTCATTTCCTCTAGGAAATTTAAAAAAAAGAAGAGAGAGAAAAAAGTATGCTATTCCTTTACTGCTTCAAAGCATATTTTTCAGCAAAGTACAGGCATGCTTTGTCTGACCTTATTAATAATTCTGTACCGGATATGCTGCAAGATCCTTTATCTAAGACCACAGAACATTTTGCCTTAAATCCCTAATTGAAAATGTTAATAAATCCTTGCAAGAAGGTTGAAACTCCCACATCCAAAGTTCCACGATCCTGTGGCTATCAGAAGTTCACAAATGAAGTATTTCAGAAGCCTATAACCTTTTAAATTCCATCCCATGATTCTGAGCTCTTGGGTCCAGCTGAGTTTGCACCAATTTCAGTTGAAGTTGCAAGGACAGAATCTTTAGCAGCATCACCCACAATGTAGCTATACAGCACAGGGCTTCCCATCCTCCACAACCTTTTACAGTTTGAATGCAGTTGCAAATCTAAGCAGATAACTGCAGCTGCCTTCAACTTTAATACAGAGGTCTAGCCAAGAGAGCCTGCAGGTGCCAACAGACAGAGATTCATTTAGATCCAAACAAGGGTATATTTGATCAAGTAAGGGGCTTTGCTGCAGCTCTTCCCCTAGGCAGAGGACATCACAGAGTGAAATACAGTATATTCTGCACATCTGAAGCCCTGGTATGATCCTTGGGCCTTGCACAGGAAGCAAGATGGAGCAAGGCAAGTGAGACCCTTAATCTCTCCTGACCACTCATTACTGTCTGCAGCCATTCATGCAGCTCAAGCCAAAATCCAATCGTGTACCCCAAGGTCTTGCAGACTGCCCCAGGGTCTACAAACGGAGGGCCAGTTCCAATGTTACATTTTAAAAAAACAATCTACAACATACAAGCTAGACACCAAAGGCCTGCCCAGGTCAAGAAAGACAGCAACAGTTAACAACAGCATTCACAGAATATCCTTACATGAAGGGGAACTGCAGAGGTCAAAAGTGCTGGACCTTCTCCCACCACAAACAGGAGGATGACCACTTGGTGGAGATGGCAGCTTCTCATCCCTGTCATGGCAGGAATTGTCATCGTTTTCTGACCTTAAGGAAAAAGGAGAACACAGGGTGATGAATGCTTGCAGTATAAAAAGTTGCATGAGAGTAAATTCTAATTTCTTCTAATTGCCTGTAATGACATAGAAGATACTGAAATTATTTTATATTTCATATGGCAAACTAGAGCTAAGGATATAATTTAATTGCATGACTACAGATCCCCAAACCAGCTGATGTTAAATGTATTTGAAATTAACATTTTTTCCTACTGCAATAAAAGAGATGAGGAAAGGAAACCATAAGTCCTTGCAGTCTGAAGACTCAAAATACCATCAGGACACTTAAAGAAAGACTCTAGCAGTAGGCCTGAGAAGTCATCAATACTTGGCTTTCTCAAGGATTCGAGATTTGCTCCTGAATATTACAAGTATTTCATTTTATGGAGCAACACAGACTTAAAACAAAGTAGATAAGAAGTGAAACTGTTGATTTCCCACATGAGGTGGATCAATGAGAAACTGAAGTAGCTGAAGGACAGAACAGCGACACGATTGCTCAGTAACAAGCAACAAACCACAGCAAGAAGGGTGTGAAAAGTGTGTGAAAAGAAGTTGGCAGACACAGAAAGTATCCCTGTCCAATACCAGGGTAAGGTAACCAGACTGTATTTCTGGTTAGAAAGGATGCAGTCCAAGGAGGCAGTTAATGATTTCACAGCTCAATCAGTTTCTAAGGAAACAGCTAGCAGAATATTAAGTAGTTCAGTCCCCCTTGAGCGATCTCAGCCACTGAGCCTTTAAAGAGGGGGAGAAAAAAAGGGAAAAAGCAGCTTTCCAGTATTTCCTGGCTCCCTCAGCTCCATACAGCATGAGCTTGTCCACGCAGGATCCCATGACAATTCATCTGAGGTAACTAGAGCCTTGTGTGTACTGGGAAGTCACAGAAAAACTGGCATGGAATAGCTGCTCCATGTGCAGGGGCTCTTCTGCATTAATTTTCCGTGTGAATACATCCATTCAGCACCAGAAATGTGTCCCTCCCCTTCCCCTCTGACTTTGGAGGTATGAACCAACAACTCATGAAGAGTTACGTTATGGCATCTCCATCAACTGCTTCCTCTTTCACGATGTTTTAAAAATGGAACATGTTACATTGAGTTTCACGTGAAGAGCTTCGAACAAGTTATATTCACTTCAATTCTGAATGCAAGCATTTACACACATTTTTAATGCAGCTTAACTACTCCCCTGAATAAAAAACTTCAGACAATTCAGAACAACTGTCCTGGATTGTCCCTGGGTAGACAAGCTGCTTATGAAGGTAAAAAGTCTGACATTTTTCATGCCATTTCATGTCATACAAACACAATCCACTTCAATAATTAAAAATACGACATACATCCAGTTCAAATATTGCTTTCGAATTAGGGCAGCTAAGATTTGATCACTTTTCTTGTTTGCCTCTTGCAAGGCTTCCTAAGAGAGTATTATTTCCCTATTTTAGTAAATTAATTTGTACTAAAATTAGAACAGCATAAAAGGTTGTAAGGCAACCTTAACAGCCAGTGCCACGGAACCAGTCCCACCAAGGGCAAAATTCTGTGCAACCTTTAACTTGGTACCGCTGACCCCACAGTAAAGTGGCCCTGTAATTTACGGGGGGGGGGTGTTAATATAAAGTAATTTGATTTAAGGTCATTTAGGGCTAACTGTCTTAGCTAGTTTAGATTTTTAAGGCCTGCAGTGCTTTTGGAAGACTGCAGGAAAAGTATTAGATAATCACTGTGCTACTAATATGTGCTTGTATTAATTAGCTGCTGTTTTCTTCTTACACACAAACACACACATTTAATATACAGGGAGAGGGCTTGCAAAAGGTGTGGACATTTTGATGCTGCAAAAGTTGACCACTGTGAGAAAGGACACAAACTCCAAATCCGCATTCAGGCTGTATCAGGCAGAAGCAGCAGGCCCCATACTCAAACAGATGCCATGTTTTCCAGGCTAGCACTTCAAAGAAAAATCAAGACTGTGCAAGACAAATCCTGGGATAGCTAAAGATTCTCTTTCTACCTTAGAAGTGTGTGTTTCATTCAACTTTCTTTCGAGGGAAAAAAAAAAAGAAAAAAAAAAAAAGAAAAAAAAGGTCTTCCAGGGCTTTTTCCATGCCCAGATCTGGCATGTTACACTTGTCCATTCTAAGTCCCTGGTAACATAACCAATGTAATCCCATATGAATGGTACAAATGCCAAAAAGACGGATTTGGATGACTCAGGAGGGCTGTCGGTCAAATCACCTGCTTCTATGAATGCTAATGCCAGCACAGGACAGTGGTGGGGAATAAACATGGGTGAGATAAAGCTGGTACCACTCCCTATCCACAGCAGTAGACTTTGATCAGATTCAGCTCCACCTGCGTACCTACAGCCTAAATCAATCCTCACTGTTTTCTGTGTGGATCTTCCACTCCAAAATGAGGAAGAAATGTGTTTTAAGAAATTATGAACATGAAAGCAAAGAGTGGCAGGGTGGGTTGACACAGGACAGCCTTCAGGGCTGGTAAGTTCTTCTAAGAACTGCCTCCACCTTTTAACTTCATTACACTGCTTTATTTCAGGTCACCCATTCATTTTAATGTACTGAGCTATGCCAATACTGTGACTTTTGAGAACTATTATCTGTACTTTGTTAGAGTGACTTGTAGTCTCTCAGCTTAAGTATCTGCATAAATGAAAATATTACACTCTCATGATAAACTGCTGCCTGTATCATAGCTACCAAAACTGTATGCAGCTGAAAGTAAAGGATTATTTAAATTTGAGATCTCATTGGTATTTTGCTTCTGCAGTCAGGACAGTGAAAAGAAGTCTCATCTCAGATTTTAAAAGATTAAGATACACTTGTTCTAACAGAAGGCACAGCGTATTCAAGGAGCAATATGCTGTAAGATTTCCTTATTCCATTTACCATGCAGCCTTCTACCTCTAACCCCAATCACACCAAGAGCAAGATGTCACACACTTTCCTGCTGGAAAATGTATTTCTTCTAAAGCAGGAAATCTGAAATAACAAGATTGTCTTTCCCATTTTCTTTTTAATCTGTTCTCTTAGGGGTGGGTAGCAAATCTTCCTAGAGCAACACATTTTCTTGCTTACAAAGTGGATGATCCCAGGCATTTTAGACGCTCCCTGCAACTTACCAATAGAATATATTATGAGAAGGTGACTATGAATAGGCAGGATATAATGCAAATTTAAATCAAATTGATCAGTAAACATTTACTCAACTATTCCAAGTATGTGACCATGGTCAATGGACTCTGCCTACAGTATCCCTCTCCTTTCCTTTTTTGAAATTACCTTTAGGAAATGATAATGGCAATGCACTTTTAGGTAGAGAAAGTTTATTTACCAGACTCTGTTGGTTTTTGTGCTTTTGTAGTTGTCTGTTTGTTTTTTTCCAAGGAGTTTAAAAATACCCATCTTAGTCTAATTTGCATGGACTTACATTACGTACATAGTTCTGTGATAACCTGGCGTCACAGGTCGCTGGAGAGGCTCATCTATACTCTGATGGACACCAGGAAACAGCTTCTTCTTGGTTTTTGGAGTATGAGTCATTATCTGATACACAGAAAGTAAAGAAATGGGGGAAAAAAAAAGTTAATGCAGTGGAAAGAGGTAACTGGAGCCATAGAGAAAACTGTATAGAAACACTGCATCAGAATCACAGCATGGTTTGGGTTGGAAGGGACCTTAAAGTTCCCACCAGCCCAGGCTGCTCCAAGCCCCGTCCAACCTGGCCTTGGGCACTGCCAGGGAGGGGGCACCCACAGCTTCTCTGGGCAACCTGGGCCAGGGCCTCACCGCCTCACAGTCAAGAATTTCTTCCTAATATCCAGTCTAAATCTACCCCCTTCCAGTTTAAAGCCATTACCCCTTGTCACTACACGCCCTTGTAAAAAGTCCCTCCCCAGCTTTCTTGCAGGCTCCCTTCAGGTACAGGGAGGCTGTTACAAGGTCTCCCTGGAGCCTTCTCTTCTCCAGGCTGAACAACCCCAACTCTCTCAGTTGGTCCTTAAAGAAGCAGTGCCTCTTTGTGTCCCTCCTCTGGACCTGCTTCAACAGCTCCATGTCCTTCTTGTGTTGGGGACTCCAGAACTGGACACGACTCCAGGTGGGGTCTCACAAGAGCGGAGGAGAGGGGCAGAATCACCTCCCTTGACCCCGGTGATATGGTTGGCTTTCTGGGCTGCAAGTGCATATTGCCAGCTCATGTTGAGCTTCTCATCATGAGATGAAGTTGCACTCTGGTACAAGGCACATGGCTGTTCCATGACGTATCTCCAGTCATGTTTTCATCATCAGCATTGTAGACCTATCTACTCTGGGATCCAGAAGGCACACAGTTTACCTCAAATTAGTCACAGCACACTAAATGGTGTTCGTGCAAACTTCACACTTTCTTTCTTAATGGCTTTTTGCCGCTTGAGGTAAGACACACAACACTTGATCCGGCATAACGCCTGCAGAAGCAGTTAACTTTTCAACTCTCTTTTTTTTTTTTCAAAATAATTGCAGACCAGCAGAGTGTTCCAGTATTAACTTGCTCAGCTCTTTGCTTTGTGTGCCCACAGTCACTGATGTAGCACTAGAACCCTAAGGCTGCCTTTGGCTTATTATTAAGCCTCAGCCTGACCACCTGCTGTGAAAGGGCAGCTACCTTTCTCAAACATATTCTGCTTCGTCTGAACAGCAGCTAATAAAACAGACTGTGAAAGATCTGGACTGCTATGCAGTCCAACCTGGCTCTTCAAGCAACACAATTTTAGAAAAAAGAAAAGAAACAAATTTAGAAAGTGATGAAACAACTGAAATTTAATCCAATAAATTAATTTATCTTAAGATCCTAATGAGTGGCACTCACTCCCAAGTACTCGGTTGTTAGCAGCTTCTCTCCTGCAAGCTCTCCCAGTTGGGGTTGCAAAACCTCATCTTTGTCCAGATCAGCCTCCATGATGTCATGGTCCTCCTGCAACAGCAACATGAGTGGTGTTTGAGCCCAGGTTCCAAGAAGTTTCCATTTCAAATTTAGTTCTCAATTAGCAATCACTCAGATGATACGTACTGTACAGATAAATGACCGCTGGTCCTGCACATGTAAATGTACAAGCAACTTCCATCAAAAACTCCTCCACCTAAACTTTTGATATAACCAGAAACTAAAGAATCCTGAGAGAAGAAAACACCCTTTTTCCCACGAATGCTATGCCAAAAAGTACAGTACGCATTTCAAAAGTCATTCTCCTTCAGATTTCCATCCCCAAATACTTACTCCTTGCCTGACTGAATAAAGGTTCAGAAAAAATCTCAGTCATTAGTATCTTTGTAGGAAAAAAAAAAGGCAAAAGAAAGCAAAGATGCAATGATAGGAAAACTTGATAGAAAAACTTGTCTGGGTCTTGTTATTTATCAGTATCATCTGACAGTAAAATAACCATAAATTTAAGTTAGATTCTAACAACTAGCAGTAAAAATAAAGTAAGCACACCTCAAAATAATGAATAGTCTTTCCTGACTATAATGCTAGCATTCCATGAGATCGAAACACCCAGCACTTTGGGTATGCCCCCTCTACCTTGACAAAACCACTGAAGGAATTAATTGCTGTTTATTCCTCAAGAAGAAAAAAGACCCCAAAATATTTTATTACCCGTTTCCAAGAAACAGAGGCATAATATTTAAGCACTCAAGACAAAAAAAATCCTTATTGCTGAGCATTCAAACCCCCTTCTCAAGCAGTGTTTTGCTACTGAAAAGAATTCTCCTCTGTGCTGCACAAGATACCCTAAATAAGACCCACCTCAGATAAAGAAAATCTGTTTTGCTTTTGAAACAGGTTGTGACAGTAAATATAAATGACTGTCGGAAAAAGTAAATGAATCATTCTAATGAGGTATGTTGTAATAGTAATGTGGAAAGCCTGCCATAAACTCCATTGAAAACAAAGGCCACCAAACTTTGATGAGCCCCAGAGCACAAAGAAAACTAAAAGCAGTTTCACTTCAGTGAGATTTAGACTGAAATAGTTTTAAATAGCCAAAGTAAGAAACACCCTCTGCCACAAAGATTAGCCAATATACGGATGCTTGGACAGTGCTCTATAAAAACAGCATGAGGAGAAAAACATCGGAAGTGTGTCCAGGGAAGGTATTTCCTATAGTGAAGATCGCTAACCGATTGCCAGTCTTTGGTGCAAAAGTACAAAACTACCATCACCCAGACCAAGTAGGTGTTGGCTTCCTCAGAGAAAAAAGGCTTGTCCTTTTTCAAGTTCCTTCACCTCTGTACCAAATGGCTTAAGCCCAATAATTTTTGGTTTGATTTAATTGTTCTCATTGCTCATCACCTCCTCATCCACAGAGATAAAACCCATAGATGCAAAGGGCTCAATTCGGTAGAATCAAAGAATGGTTTTGGTTGGAAAAGACCTTTAAGATCATCGAGTCCAACCAGTCCCCACAGCAGCATCCAGGATACTCTGAAACATCCTGCCTGGTTTTCCCCTGTGACTCTGTGAGGGCTTCCCCCAGGTCCCAAGTCACACCCAACAGCCTTGTGCAGGTGCTTCTGACGCTGCAGTCGACCTTAAGCAACATCACATGACTCCATGTGGACAACTGAAGCGATTACAGAAATACTGCCAATGATCCACATAGTGTGGATTAAGGTTCAGTGATTTTTTTCCGTACTGTATTTGTTTATGCATGGATTTAATAAAAACCCAAGTTCTTCTGTAAGTGCTCTGAAGACACCAGATTGTTAATCTTCTTCGTCCTCCTAAAGATGCATTCTCTAGACACTCGGCCATAAAAGATAAGGCTGTACAGGACCCCGGGAAGATGTTCAATCTGCCTTTCTCTCCTAGGCAAGTTAAGTCAAATCAGCTCCTAATTACCTGGGAAGCTGGGTAGGTGGGGAAAATAACCCAAATAATGGAAAACACAGATAAACACTTGTAAACTAGTCAACAATCATCATCTGCATCAAGCAAAACACCACCCAAAACCAACACTGCAAACTCCACAATATACTCCGCTTTGAAGAAAGATTTAAAAGTTACAAAAATTAACTTTATAAATAGTCTGGAGGAAACTTTTTTTATATGGTAATGTTAATGCAGCATCGAGAGCTAACAGTTTTCTTCAAGGAAGCTTTATAGAAGACTGCCTACACCGTGCCTGGGGACTCACACTGCAGTCAGGACAGCGCCCTGGTCTTTCACCCAGCTCTCTGCCTGCATGGCGTGATACACAGAACTTCTCACAGACTGCTTTGGTTTCCCCAGGTTCCAACTCTTTCAATACTCTCTTTGACACATTTTTGTCACACAGACAACTCCAGTTTCTGGTTTCTGGGAGTACTTCTTCCTTCCAGCCTTGCTCCCTGATATTTTTAAATATAGCAGGTAAAACTGAGCCTGAATGTGTCTCTCTTCTGCCTCCTCATATGGAAGCAGAGCTTTAACAGACGTGCTGAAAGTAACATCGAAATAACACAATTGGTGCCCTGTTCCCCACTGCCCACAGCTGATGTTGGCAGCAAAGTCCTCTAATGTAACGACTTGAAGTCCTGCGATTAGGCTCTCCTTCTTTTGATGTATTCTCTAGCCAAAGTGTATTTTCACACTGTAGTTTACTGATTTTATTGCCAGGTTCTCAGTAAGAGGGATCAAAGGGTGTCTGATAAATTGTCACTGTACAATTTATTGGTTACAGAGTGATATCTAGTATAGCGCAAGTTTGTAACTAAGCTTTTGAATGAGAGCTACAATAGCATATATTCACCTTTACAAGCAGCAACTAAAGATGGTCCAAATCAAAAGAGCAATTGTAAAGATCAAACACTGAAGAAAAATTAAGTTAGTATTTAATGGAACAATAAAGAGACTATTAAGCACCAGGAAATACGTGCTGTGACTGTGGGTCTCAACACACCACATAGGTGGGCACATACTGCAGAAGCCAGCGCACCCTGAGCTCTACACTAGTTAATTTAAAGCTCAGCAGACAAACCCAAAAGCCAAATTATTCCTGAATAATTGTATACGCATAGACAGTTTTTATTCAGTTTATACGCTCCAGTGTCACACGTTACAGAATCTTGAATTTCTGAGTGTATGATGCCCTGAGAACTCCCAGAATTATCACAGAATCACAGAATCTCAGGAGTTGGAAGGGACCTCGAAAGCTCATCCAGTCCAACCCCTGCCAGAGCAGGATCACCCAGACCAGGTCACACAGGAACACGTCCAGGCTGGTCTTGAATGTCTCCAGAGAAGGAGACTCCACAACCTCTCTGGGCAGCCTGGGCCATGCTCTGGCAGCTCCAGCCACTTTTCCCCAAATCTGCAGTGCTGCATGGGGTTATTGCGACCCAAGTGCAGGACCTAGCACTTGGCCTTGTTGAAGCTCACACAATTGGCCTCAGCCCATGGATTCAGCCTATCCAGGTCCCTCTGCAGAGCCTTCCTACCCTCAGGCAGATCAACACTCCCTCCCAACTTAGTGTCATCTGCAAACTTGCTGAGGGAGCACTCAATCCTCTCATCCAGATCATTGATAAAGATGTTAAACAGGACTGGCCCCAAAACCGAGCCCTGGGGAACACCACTTGTGACTGGTCACCATTATCTTCCAGTGGGCTCAACCACATTTTGGCGGCAGTGTTTAGGAGAAAGTAGTCAGTGCCACAAGATCTGCTCAAAGCCAAGAGAATCCAGCAACTCTAAATTAAACGCAGATAAAAGCAAGAAACCATGAAAGGTAATTGTAAGAGCATGGGGAACCTTCACATGCTCTTGGAAACAGCAGAAGCTGGGGCAAAACCTGTGAAATAAATCTGCATAAAAGAGTAGTTTTGTTGTTTCTTAAATTTTGAAGGTATAAATATTGGTATTAAGTAGATCAGCAACAAATTACAACACCAGCAGTTTGAATGCACATCATCAAATTGTCAATATAGGGACATACGCTGAAATACATCAAGTCTGTAGTAGTTTTCACAAGTTACGTAAAGGCAAGACTTCTGATTAAGTTTTCCAAAGCTTTCTGTTGCCAGATCACATCAGATGTTATCACAGAACCCCATCAAAGCACAATAACTCACTGCATTTCCAAAATAAAAAAGGGCTCCGAGCATTGAGGCAGTGAGTCAAGAAACCTTTGCTTATTTAACAGAGTGACAACACTGTGTATTTTGTGCAGCGTTTTGCTGCCATGCCATTTGCATACTACATTTTCTAAACAGAGGGACCAAGAAACCAGGCCTCCTTGCAGCAGAACAGAAGTATACTCCAGCAGCAATAAGGATTTAGAACATGCAACAATTAATGTTGCACTAGAAACAGTTTTACAATTGGTTTAATGAGACTTTTTAATATAATGGAAAAACTGAATCAGACTCTTATTTTTTCAAAAGCCTACTGTTATTTTTGAGTCAAATAATAAGAAGTGGCAGAAGTTTGTTTTCATCATGATGGTTCAGTGGTAAAACCGCATTTCAGAATGATATGACCTAGAGCCTTGGCTGGGATTGCGAGCAGCAGCACCTTGTCTAGAGGGTAGGACTGAATACAAGAATTCACCTTTTCATTCTCAAGAGCAGGTAAAGTAATGCAAGTATTGTACACTGTCATGCCATTCAGTGCCACACCTTTCATGAAGGAGCTCTCTATCTCTGTGCTTTCCCAGCAGAACACACTATTCTTCATACTAGAGTTCAAATGAAAATATCACCACCTTGGATTCTCACAATATATGAGAGACACTCAGAGCCTTGGAACATCAGTTAAAGGGTGTTAAGCAGCATATTAAACAAAGGAACGTTATAGTGATTAGTCCCAGAACGCCCATCTTGCACATCAAGCATTGATTTTGGATGGAAGAAGTGGAAGAATTACTGAAAACTCAATTCAGGACTGCAGGAGGTGAAACAATTACAATAATTTAATCCTATTAGGAAAAAAAACCAAATAAACCGTTTACTGTACCCCTTTAGAACAAAAAGGGGAGAGCTGATTGTTAAATAAAAATTCCTTGTAGCTCTAAACTTAGAATTTCCACATAGCTCTAAATTTAGGCAAAGTCACCAGTGTAATTAGTTCACGTGTTCACCACCCATTGTGCCACAACACAGAAAGCAGCTGAATACTGCAACCAGTGCAAAAGTCCTTGGACACTGGCTGGATCCTGCAAGGTGCTGCACCCATGGCAGCTGAGGGCACACCACACCTTTTACAACTGGGATAATTACATTTTTCTCTGCTTTGAAAACATAAGAGGCTCAATGTGCACTTGAAAATGCGTTCAGTCACCCTGCGGTAGCAGGGCAAGTGAAGGCAGCATAGCAATGGCAACATCACCAGTGAAGACTGCGTTTAGTATTTCCCTCACATCATTTACACCTTGCTTTGCTTGTAATTTAGATGATCAAATACTCAATGTTGTCTACACCTGGGATCCCATTATTCTTTGCAGATGGCTTCTTAAAAAATGCTGAAGTATTGGTATAAAATACATTTATTAGCAAATCTGGTAATACACAGATAATTATTTCTTAATTTCTAATTACTGTTTTCCTTCATTACGTACAGACAATTTATTAAATATATTTCAGACTTTCTAAAGAGCAAAGGAAGAAATCACACCTCGAGCAGCTCATGATACCTTAAGAAAAAAATCACTTGTTTATAAACTATTTTGGTGATATACTGGTTTATTTGGTTCCTTTGTTTTTAACTGCTGGAATGGGTCTGCTTGAAAGCAAGATTTCTATTGCTATAGTAACTCCTCATCTCTTCACTTATTTCAAGCAGTAGTCTTATTTATCACAGAGGTGGTGACTTACCAAAATAAGAGAGTAGGACTTCAAATGCAGACAAGACAATGGAAACACATCAAATTTTCTTGTTAATAGACCCTGGTAATTGAAAGTAAAAAACTCTACCCTACCCAAACAAAAAACCTCCACAAACCTCCCCCCCAAAAAAAACCAACCCCAAATTCTGGCTTATGGACACAAATATTTTCTGTCTAGAAGGTTAACGATTTTTCTAAAAGGTGCTAGAAGGCCTTTAAACTTACTTCCTCATCCTCCTCTTCCTCTTCATCGTCAGACACAATACTGTCATTTAGTGGCTCTTCTGGAAAGAAACAAAATGAAATGGTGTAAGAGTACATGTGCCACACAACAGAATCCCTGGTACCGCCTCTCTTTTACAACAGTAAAATTTAGCCTGCTTCTCATACAGACATCCTAGTCTTTTCAGAACAACTCAAATTATGTGTTCCTATGAAGCATTCTAGAAATTACTAAAAGTAACTCATATTTGGGAAAATGGCAGAAACAGAAACGCTCCGGAATGGCTCTTTTCACGCAGATCCCGATATGGTATCTCAACAAGACTTGAATTAAAGTGTGTACACTTGCAAGTTCGTCTATTTTCAAACTAAATTTTAATAAAAAGAGACTATATCTCCCTACATACACTTCAATATTAAACTGCTTTTATACATAAAAAGTTATTACTCATGTAGAACACTTATTGTTACTTTTGGACATGCTCATTTCCTTAGAAAAAAGCAGCCAAGCTCATACTGGAAATCTGTTCGCTCAACTTTTACACATCAGTCACACAAAACCTTTTAAAAATACCATTAACAGGTAGAAGAGGAGTGATTCTACAATCTTGATGAACAAATATTGCATAGTGGCAATACAGCGCTTACATGCTTTATTTGTTCTTTTACAAGCCAGGACCAGAAGATGCGCTGTCTTCTGCTCTCTCCAAAAGCCAAAGAAAGCAGTGAAACTTGTTCTATTTTTACTGTACAGCAAGAATTAACCAGAATCCACCTCCTTTTCGTTATTTGCTTTCTCTTTCTTCAGCCTTCCTTTCAGCCACAGAGAACAGAAAATACAACAAATATTTCACCTCCTCATACTTGTCCATATTAACACAGCATCTACACCTCCTGGGACCCATCTGTGGACTCTCCTGAAAGGATGGTCTCTACCCCCTCTTCAGGCTAAGCCATTTCAGACAACAAAGCTACACTCCTCAACAGAGCAAGAGATGAGCGGAGACAGACCCAGTCCCTAAATCCTGCTTTACAAATTGTATCACCTGTTTATTTTTGCAGTTGCAGTCTCTCATTCCTGTGAGGCCACTAATGCGAAAGAAAACAGTCAAGGTCATTCTGTTTACAGTCACAAGACTTTGGGATTGATACCTACCCAGCCATCTTCATAATTGTAACGCAAAAGGAGATTTTAAAACATATCTGACATTCAAATCCTGACATTCACTATTCACCCTTTCTCAGACCGTCACACTACTGTTATTGTTTGAGAGTTTCAATGCCAAGTAAAAACATGAGCTTTCTTATGTCTTTTGTGAAAGATTTATGGCTCAGATAGCTGCATCTGTTCTTCTGACCTGAATTGAGTTGCTGGATAATAAATTCAATCTGTCGGATCATCTCTGCATTTCCTTCCTTGATAAAGCAGCACAGAATTTCTTCCATTCCCTGGATGTAGTGGAAAACATTGCTAGATTAATATTTCATGTGACCACAGAGTTTTATTAGCTAAAATGTCATTGTTTTGTCAGGAAAAACACAGGCAGTGCAAAACAAATCATCGTGGCCAGCTCTAAGCACTCCATTTTGTCCATGCACTGCCTAAAGACAAAAGAAATATGCTGTCTAGATTTAAACACAGAAGTATCCATGATGAATAACAAATTTCTACAACAGATCCACTGCTTCTGCCTTCTGAACTCGGTACACAGTAGTCAACAGAAAAGGGCAAATTTCCATACACAGAGGCAACAGTGCAAGGTTCAGAGAAACACAGCAAAAAGCAGGACCAACTTTTGACTTTCTCCTAAACCAAATTTCTCTCTTTGTGATCCCCTATAGGCTCGATGTTATGTCTTTAATCATTTAAGATGACTTCCAATGCTCTGTGAGGTAAAACATCTGACAACAATTATATCTGCATAACTCTCCAGGTTAGTTCTTAATATACAAAGATACGCTGCTATTCTCAAATCCAGAAGTTAAAACACATTCATTACTGTTGGACTATCACAGGAGATCAGTTCCTGGTTCTGGTAAAAGCTTCCTCCTGCTGCCTTCCCCAGCTGACCATGTCTATACCAGGCACAAACAAAAGCAGCAAGACAAACCCATCCTCTAAGTGACTATTCACTGCTGCAGAACGAGTTAAATAAGAGGAAGTAGCAGCAGGTCAGATGAAAGCATCTCCTGGGCCACATCAGTCTACAAAATGCTCGATGGACAACACTATTCTAAAATAACACCTTGAATTTATCATTTAGACAGAATCCTTCACACTGCTAGGCCTTCACTTCTAGGAAAAGACCAGCAAATATGGCAAGTGTTAGAGCCATACATCCATCTCTGCCTGAATATCAAAGGTAGAAGGCCTTTTGTGGATTCCCTTCTCCAAATGCCATGGCTCCTACCTCCCAACCCTACTGCTCCACAGGTACCTGTGTGCATGCCACCTTTGGCATATGCATTATTCTTTGTGCTATGCATAGCAGCACTTCTTACCATTGCTCTGGCTTCCTCTCGGACAGAAGGGATGGCAAGGATGCTGTACAGTGCTCCGTTCACATAGGGTTGTATCTAAGAGGAAGGAACAGTCACACTCTTACCTCAGCAAGTCTACCACTAAGAAAAACTCTTACATTCACCCCAGTTGACCATAACCAAAATTTAAGACGGAAGGTACAGAACAACTACGTTCAGACAGTTTAATTGGGCTGGCCTGCACTTGCAAAAATTCCCACTTGCAAAGCAGTGAACTTTTAGGATGCAAATATACTGTGACATAGTTGATGTAAATCAGTGTTACTGCATACTGATTTCCCTCCCACCCCTTCTGAAGATGTTTCTGACAAACACTAGTGGCACTACAAAAAACAGGACAAAGAATGCACCCTCTGAGAGAAATGTCAAGGTCATTCTAAGGCACAGACTTCAACAGTATGATAGCAGTTTCTAAATACTTCCGTTTAGGGACTGGGATGCTATTCTGTATTAGTATGTGCTGTATTAAACTTTCATAAGTCATAGAAACAGAGCTAGTGAAAGAGTCCAATAAAGCTATGCCAAGTTTCATCTTAATCTAAACAGTGCTAGTAAAGAACTGATCTACATCTTGTAATGAATTCATACTTGTCATGACTTCATTGCAATTTGTTCTCTATTTCCAGTTTAAGTTAAATAAAAACCCCTGATAATACAATCAGCGGATATAAACATAAGACACCAGAGTTCATATTTCAATTTTACTGGAAGTGCCCAAACACCTTGCACAATCATCAAGGAATCATTCTAGAATAGCCTGGTAAAAATTCTGGCTAATTTCAGCTTCATGCAATATTTCCCTGCATTTTCTCCTGCCTTGAATTTTACTCCATGGTGAAAGAAGTGCCTCTCTGCAGAGACAGCTGAAGCAATGCTTTATATAGCAGACAGCAGATATGGGAGTGACGTGCTGAAAAGTATCAGGTAGAAATAACTAATAATTTTTAGCATTTTCCTCTGAGGTAGTTTAATTTAATATCCAGGATGCAAGTGTGTCTGGAGACAAGAAAAGAAAGGAACCACAGAAGCGTTAAGTGGCAGGTTAAATGAAGTGGTAGATTAAAAGATATTAAGTCTTCAATGTCATAAGTGCACTGCTTTCTTATAATATTTCTTAAAACAGCTCTCTAATTTGCTTCTTAGCACCCCATGTTTTACATAATGGGCTTGCACCAGAAATTGAACACATCTCATGAACTAGTTAGGCTTGAGATGATTTGGTGTGAGATGACATTTAAACAGCATCAGAAACTAATCAAGAAGGCACATGGTTAGCATGATAAATATGCATCTAAAAGACTTCCATTCTTAGCTGTCAACATTTGATAAAGGAAGGCATAATTATGTCTAGAAAGATCAGCACCCAACAACATAAAATTTACAAAATTGTGACTTTTAGGAAAATGTCACGCAACTTAATTACATGAGGGTCTAACAAGGGAAACAAAACCAATTGACTTTTTTCCATTTCTTCCTTTCTTGCTTTTTTTATCTTTAATTTTTCTTTCCATCTCTTCATTATCACAAAGTTTGCTGTACAATACCTCATGATTCTCATGGCCAAGAAGATCAGAGAGAACTTTGAGCACGTGGTTTGCGATCCTTGCACACATTTTCTTCCCTGCAAAGGGAGAAAACAAATATGCTTGAAAACATACAACAGATCAGAGCAAGCTTCTTTCTTACTTCTTAAAATCAGTGTTAATCTATATATAGCAATACAGACTTGGTTCCTGCTAAATGCTGCTCAGCATAACTGCGCTGATATCAGTGGATCTGGATCTACACAGTTGTAATCTTGGACAGGGTGCAACACAAAGCGATTTTTAAAAGTTTAACAAAGGCATTATTTTGCTTATGGGAAGCAGTCGATTTTTCACCCTTACTTCACTTTCCTTTTTAAAAGGAAACTTACTTTAAGCTCCTTTAAAGTCTCTGGGACATAGACAGGACCTTATTTTCTTAGAGGATGTGGGGAGAATCTCAAACAGAGATTATAGGTGTGAAGCATAAAAGTATTTCACTCCACGAGGTGAAGGTTAAGCTCTTCACCATTATTCTTCAACTCAGATTTTACTTTCTTATACAAACAAATCTTACACAAGTCTAAAGTGTCCTTTGAAAAGTGGGTCTGCAATGGAGGAATGGCAGTCCTCAAATACAGATATGAAAAAAGAATAAAATCTTAGAGGGTTCCATTGGTTAACTGCTTGCTTAATTCTGTAGATTTTGGTGAAGGTAACCTCCATAGTTTGGGATTCTTGGGAAAGAGATCTGCTCAAAAGCATTGGTTATAACACTCAAATATCTCTGGTGACATGAGTCCCGACTACTAATTACAGCCACTTGTAAGAATCCAGGTATATCAGAAAAGATTTACAGTCTTCCCTGTCCATTTTTTGGAATAAAGTTGTAATTCAAAATGTAAGACACCTGCACTCCGCAGACAAAGGTTCATGAGCAAGGCAACCGAATACTCCAGCGTGTAATCAGACAGGCAATCCGTGTCTGTTAGGACATCAACCAGCCAGAAAATGAGCCCATCTTTGATCATCGCCGACTGCAGGGCACGCCTGGGATTAAAAACCCAAAAAATCACACAGAAAATCAGTCTACAGCATAAATAGCTTTCAAATACATTTATAGTTAACATGAGCACATTAAAACCCTACTTCATCTACCTGCTATACACACTAGCCTGTCAAAAAAACCAAATCAAACCGCCACACAAAAAATCCCCCCAACAACAAAAAGCAAAAAAACCCCCATTTTGGCAGAATCAATTAAACTAAGGAATTAATAAAGCCTGAAGAAACTGAAGATGCAGATTCCCTTAGGGTTAGAGGACTAAAATGTTGTTGGGTGGGTTGGGTTTTTGGTTTGGTTTGGTTTTTCAAACCTGCAAACTGCTGAGATGAGTTTCTTCATTGTTTTCTATGGCTTCTGACTCCACTTAAAAATGGCATTTTCAGTTGTACTAGAATTGGTAAAAAGCAGCCAGCTGCACACAATAGACCCATAAAACAAATTAATTACTACTTCTGCCATAGGTAGCTACAGCACTTTTGTACTCTTGACTTGACAAATGAGATTTTTTGCTATTTGCTCTTTTCTCTAGAGATTCTTAAGTCACGTATTCTTTTAACTCAACCTGTAGTTGCCCTTGAAGAATATACTGAATAAAGTGCCAGGTGGTCAACTGTGATCTCCTACAACAGAAATTCCTCGCTTTGCAGTACAAAAAAGAAGTACAGAGAAGAAGAATATAAGAAGTAGAAAGGCTTACTGAAGAACACCAATTTTAATCACATTATTTCCAATAGGCAGTAAATCTAAATTACAAAGATTAAAGCAGGTATTTTCCTGGTGTTAGTACTTGGGATTTGGATTACTCCCGAGAGCTTATATGCTTTCTCAGTCCTGGATCTTGTAGCAAGTCTATGGCATGGACTAAGAAAAACAAGGGAGCATCTGACCACACATGTAACAAGAAGTCCCTTAAGTCGAGTATCTGGAATTAACCTTCTATAAGGTTGTATAACTGATAGTTTTTAGAAAGTAAAAAAACTTCACATTTTCAGTAGCTTAGTGCCTAGGCCCCAAAACTCAAACTAGCTTCTACTACCAACAACTGCTTTAATAGAAAAAATGATTTTCTCCAAGATTGGTTTACAATTTGAAGCAGTAGGATATGAAGATTTATTCTCTTTCATCTCAAATATGTATAAGGTATCATGTCAGGAAGCAGTACAGAATTTTACCCAAAGGACATTTACATATGCTTCATCCAGACACGTTCTAAATGAGGCAAATCCAAAAGCAGCCCTCATTCTTCAACAAGCCCAAAGAAACAAATTAAAAAATCTCTCAATACTTGCAGTCCTAAGGTAGAAGAAACATGAGTGAAAATAACAAGAGCTAAACACATCCATCTACTTCCTTACAGCTAGTTAACTCTTCAGGGCTGAATACTCCTCCTCAGTACTGTGAAAACAGAGCTCCTAGATCATATTTATTTGATAAATGAGAGCAACACCATGCGCTTTACTGCTTTTGCATATTTCTTTTGTGGTGGGCATTTGAGTCAGACTGCTAATGCAGAAGTAAGAAACATGACAGGCCATGCATAGACAGCTCCAGGGAAGAAGATCAACAGGATGAAGATGAAATCCCTGAAAAATGTTTGCAGAAAGAATAATGAAAACCATATGCTGTGGAATGTAATGCAACTCTTTTTTCTATGTAGGATCTTCAGAACTTTCTACATCAAGATTTTCACTTTGTTACACATAAAGCACACAAGGCTGTGGCAGGAGATGTACATTTACTGGAGTCTTGACAGCTGGTAGGAAGTCAGGTTAATTCAGTCAGCAAAACCTAGTTCTCCTCCGTAATAAATGACACTGCTTTCATCAGTCATCAGAGGTTCTGATGATTGTTATGGGAAAACCAAGTGCTCTTCTTTCCTCCTTGAACAGAGCCTAAGCAGCCTGCATTTCCTCTCCTGCTGTCACCACTGCGTGCTGTGCTTTCATCACCTGAGGCTGAATTTCTGCAGAGCCCCCAGAACATTCTCCCATGTAAGGGAATCCTTGTCTTCAGCTTTCAGTCTCTCCTCCAGCATTCGCAGCAATGTTGGGTTCTGAGAAAGGTAGACGCGACCTGGTGCAAAAAGCGATGAAAGAACAGATGCTGAGATATCAGCTTATGACAGAAAAGCTCCCTCTCCTTGGAAAAGTAAGGAGGATTGACCTCAGTTTCTTCTTGACAAGCCACACTTTTGCACCAAGACCCAAACAAACCCACACAAATGAGTTGTCTATAGCAGAGCAGTTGCATTCAATCCAGCCACTTGGGACATTTAGAGACCCCCACTTGTCAAGTTAGTACCACTCAAAATTTACTAGTCCTCTTTCAGCACATGCTTCCTGATCTATCCTACTGTAGGAAAAGAAGAGAGATGTCCAAAGAGATCAGGAGTTAGGTGCCCTACTGCTACTGACTTTAAATGGAATTTTAGTTCTAAATTGCACCAAACCAAGGGCTTATTTGGGACAGGCAGAGATACAAAGCTGTATATATATATGCAACAAAACAGCAGTGATGCACAAAGATTTATTCAGGTGAGGACCAGGAAGATGCAAGCGCAGCTGCACAAATTACTGTTGCACACCTTGGTAGCAGGTCTGCCTACAGGACCTTTAACTAACAGGGATATTTCTTCCCCCCTGCCCCTGCCCAGCCTTCATGAAGGGGCTGAAGACTACATTAAAGGCAGCACCTATGGTCCCACATAGACCAAAAATCATCAAAAGAAATCAGAAATGCTGAATATACAGTGTCAAAAATGAAAACTTTCCAGATACTGAAAAAGTTTCCAATGTACATAACAAAAGACAGCAAATTCCTAGAAAAAGGGTACAAATAAGGCTTTAAATTTCCACATGCAGTAACGTACACTTGTGAAGTACCTGTAAGCCAGCCCTATATGAAAATAATGTCCTTTTTTTGCAGCAATTCTTACCTTCTGCCAGTGAAGCAAATGCATTGATGAGCCTTGCCATATACTGTCGGACTACCTCACTCTTGGAATGTAATAATTTGAGGACACTTCTCTGTAAAACAAAGCAAGCATTAATAAAAACTCATCAAAGCAGGAAACCCCAAAGTTAGTCTTCTATAGAGTTTTAAAAGCTTCATTAAATTTTCACAGCAAACAAACTTTGAATGCACATTGATACCTTAAATAATTTATTATTTAACATTACTTAAAATTTCCCAGTGTCTCTTTTTTATTGGCAGGGGGGGAGGGAGAGGTGGAAAATGAACAAATAAGCAAATCAGAGCTCCTCAGCTCAGTGTTAAAACACCATTAAGCTCCACAGTGTAGGGTGAGAATTACAATGAACCAACACAGTTATCAGCTAAAGCTGATAAGTAAAATTAATATTTAGTTAGTGACAAAAAAACCTGTTAATTTAGTTGATGAACTTAAATGCAGTAATGTTACCTGAATAGGAATGCTTTGTTTGATAACTAAGGATGTGGGAAAGCAGCTCAGTAACTTACTAAGAACACCACATTGCAAACTTCTTTTAATCCGTTTTATTTCACGCATTACTAAGGCATAACTTTCCTCTTACAGAAAGATACAGGGAGAGAAACAGATCATTGATTTAATGATCCTTCAACTGTTCCAGTGAAATTACTGTTGCAATGACAGTGGTAGCCACAGTGTAACAAGTGGGCTCACTGCTTCAAACATCTACAGAATTCAACTATGCACAAAATTCACTATTACAAATGAAAAAAAGTTGCACTTTTGTTAGCAGTAGTATCAAATTATCAGAAACTGGAGTAATCCTTCAAAATCAACACACCAGCAACTCCCCTTTCTAAAGAAATCCATTCCAAATTCACGGAAATACTGTTGAGCATGATATTACAAGCGCATAATCAGATATTCTGTAGAGATATTGAGACTGAAGTCCTAATTTAGTTCCTATCCTAGATCAGTGAAATGTATTGAAAGTTATTATCTATCGATATGAAATCAATCAAAAATAGATATAACATCGGAGAAACAAGAGCTAATGATAAACAAGAGCTAACTCCTAACTAAGGGGCTCAATAGGCAGCTGCTCAGCTCATGGACATCAAGCACTAGGCGAGGTGACAAACTTACACTTGTCTACAAGAACTGTATTTACACTGAGAGCTCTTGTAATTCAAAGCTTAGCCCATCATATTTAAAGACTGGGATGCAGAAGTTAAATGTATCACACGATTTTAGCACTACTACTTTTTTTTTTCCCTTCCAGAGAGTGATAAATTCTTCTGAACAGCACTTGATAGAAACAAATGAGCAATAGCACATACAAGTTGGAGGAAAACCCTTTCCAGCTGACCTGACTGTTGCTGTGGCAGTCCAGGAGGTCATTACTGATGTAGGCTTGCAGGACAGTGTCTCTCTGTTCTCCAGGATACGACGTTGTCAAGCGCTAAAATAAATAACAGAAATAAACCAGCCAAATACATAAATGGCAATGTGAACTGATGACCACTGAAGGTTTTAAAGGTGCTGATATCCTGTAGTTGAGAAACCTCTTCTCATAGGGAGGAGGAATTCAACC